GCCTATGGTACCCCTGCTCTTTACTGGTTATATTCTGCATTTCCTACCATATTTTTCACTCCCGATAAATTATACTAGCGCCTAACATGGGTGTAGTAAAATGTTATACATTCGTAGCCCCCGTACCAGGGGGCCCGGGGGGGGGGGGAGCGGAGCCAATGTCGTACTGGCTGGACGCTCGCTTGACCTTTCTTGTTTTGATCGTCAGGTCAGCCGGGTCGAGCTTCCGTTAAGGTTGGTAAAATGTAATTTCTAGCCGAATCTCTGCGTCAGGAACTATTTACATTGCATAATTTCATTGCTTATTGTTAATAATAATAATAAGAATAATTATTGTTAAACTAATTATTATATATACGGTGCTTAAACTGTATCTGTATATGGCTTGCAAACTATATGGCTTGTCTTTATTGCAGGTTACTACACTAATTATACGATCAATAAAGCCACAAGTCTGGTAATGCCTTCGTTTACCACAATGGCTATCAAAATAAAAAGCCAAAGGCCAACGACAAAACCAATACAACCCCCCCCCCTTCCCCCCTTAGCAAAAAAGGGTATTCACAAGTCACAATGACAGGCCTTAAGAGTAATTTGCGAGGCTAAGGAAGACTGAAGAATGGAAGGGTAAGAAGGTAGCGGCTGCAAGATTAAATGAACATGGGCCTAATATGTAGAAGAACTAACAAAGGAAATTAGCGACTGAAGGGGAAAAGTAAATACATGACGACGCTTCCGCAGTCAAGTCAGAGGACAGACTGAGGGAAACTTATGCTTTATAAAGAATTTACAATCACCAAAATCTGCCCTACAATGCAGGGAACCTTTAACCGCAAGATTTCTGCATCGATTTCTTACAAGAAAATAGTTGCCAAAATATCAATTACATGAGGAATCTCAGCTGCATCTAGAAGACATCGTATAAAGTGTAGAAGCTAACAACGCTCAGACAATACCCGGACATAAGAGGCAAAACATACCACTATAACAGTAGGCTCGGTAGACAGCCTGGTAAACAGATCAATACAGGGGGAAGGGCACAAAGGCGGGGGAGGCCACTAATTGGTAGTGCAGTCAACCTACAATTTACTGTAACCCAAGACATGCCTCTGCCTCGCCCAGCACGCTAGGCGACCACGCCACCACCTTCCCACCGTATACCATAACAAAAACGGACTGATTAGAAACACAAAAGAAAAAGAAAGAAACGGAAAAAGAAATTTACGGAAAGAAAAAAGTGAAAGAAAACCGAAAAGATAGAAAAAACAAGAAAAGAACACGAGTGCTTATGTAGGACAAGCAACAACAGTCTGGCAAATCGTGTAGTCAACTATCCCTAGGGGACATCATTGAGAGGAAAACCCTAACAAAGTGGCTCAATAGGTAGGTATATTGTATATACCCTCCCAGCAAGCATAAGAAATATTGTCGGAACATTATTATTATTAACATCGTGGACATCTTCAAGAGGAAACTAGATTGTTTCCTCCAGGAATGTGCCGGACCAACCGGGCTGTGGTGGGTAAGTGGGCTGCGGGCCACTCCAAGCAACAGCCTAGTGGACCAAACTCTCACAAGTCAAGCCTGGCCTCGGGCCGGGCTTGGGGAGTAGAAGAACTCCAGCAACCAGGTATATTAGCTTAATTTATAACAATATTGATGAGGTTAAGTCATGATTTCTAGCAGTTGTAAAGAATATTTGGACAGGTTATCCCTATCTTGAGTACCTTGTGCTGAGTACTAAGTCACAACCCACTTTACCTGATTAAAACCAATCCAGCGATAGCAATCGATAACGATTTAGTCCTAAGAAAACTAAAACCTCACGGAACGCTAAAAGACTATCAAAACATTTTCTTTCTAATCCAAGCAAAAATGGCAATCAGCGTTACAGAAGTATGCGCTAAATTTGGATGGCAACATTAAGAAGTATGGAGGAGTGGAGGCTGAATCACTGAGTTAGCTCCCTGGCCTCTCGTTGTCCGCCACCAATCCATCCCGACACCATTCACCGTGTCCCCAGGTGATACCAGTAGAGAACTTGGCCCCCACAATAACACGGGTCAATGCGTTATCTGTGCAATTTGGGTGGTGGTTTGGCGTGCTTTCTGGCTAATTGGAAATGTGTGCGAAAGCACCTGCCTTCACCCGGCACCTCAACTAAGCCCAATAACGGTGCAGAATGAGCTTGGAAGGCAACTTTGCTGGCTAAGAACGCTTTAGGCTATAATTTTAACACTCACGAAATATTTACTATAATTATAAATTATTGTGGCAAAGAAAGCAAGAACTTCTAAAGATTAAAATAAAACTGCATAACTTTTTGGACGGGAATGATTTAATTATCCGACAAACTTTGAACCAGTGCTTATGTATATGCATGCAATTTTCGTAAACAAAAAATATATTCATGTTAGTTACATTCGTACCTCTACCTTCTGTAAACTCCTTAGGCTTGGGAAGACAATCTAGTTTGCAGAGTCTGCAAGGATCAAAGGAAACTTTAAATCACCTCCAAAGGAAAGTCGATCAATCGGGCTGAAATCCATCGGACACTGCAGCAGCGGCAGACAGACTAGCTGACCAGATCACCATCCAATAAACCAGGTCAGGCTTGGGGAGGGTAGAAATAGCCAAAGTTACTCCATCCTTTTGGGATTTCTCAAAATTAATTTGAGACTGAATCGTCTTAAATTGTCCAATTTAAAGACCAGCCTGGTTGCAGTAGATATCTGGGCTTGCGAGTCGCCCCAAGCAAAAATCTGTTGGACCAAACTATCGGAAGTCAAGCCTGGCCTTTAAAGTTTGGTAAGAACAACTCCCAGAACCCTCTATATACAATCCCAGTACAAAGAAATATTCAAGCATTGGGACTACTACCTTTCCCTACATAATACACTACTCTTGGCAATATATGTCTTGCCTCAGTTAAGAGGATTATTTTTCGTTAAAATCACGTTAAATAAAAAACATTGCAGTTATTAAACCCTGGAAACTATCAGTATTAAATACAATGTACCGAGATATTATGAAGCTATTATAATTCAAAATGGTTACTCGAGTAGTATACAGAAAATGAAGTCATACCCTATACAAACAGACAAGTAATCTGCTAATACCCCATGAAAACTTCAATTTGTTACTTGTAGCGAATAATCGAACTGAATATTGTCGGCATTAGGATCATTTACACCTCCGAGGAGAGGCATCGACCACTACCTCCTCCTCCCCGTTCCTAACCCAATTACTTGGGCTGGACGGTAGAGCGACGGCCTCACTTCATGCAGGTCCGCGTTCAATCCCCGGCCATCCAAGTCAGGAACAAGAAAATTAACACGTGATGAAAAATGCGAGTCAGACCACGAAGGAAGAATTGAAACAGGAATTTCATTAAGTACTTTCGTATTTAATAATCACCCTTCCGAAGATGTATTATTAAATACGAAAGTACTTAAGAAAATTCCTGTTTCAATTCTTCCTTCGTGGTCTGACTGTTATATACATATGTATATTAATTTTATGATTTGATACTGTCTCAGTTCATCCAGGAGCTTCCGCAAGGTACCTGCCGATCGTCTCTGCCCACATTGTATTTACATATAATTTGTGCTGTACCTAATTCAAGTAAAAACTTCACAAATTCAGGTGTTGTGAAGGATGGATATTTAGAACCAAATAAATCCTTATATAATCAACATTTCGAAAGCTAGGCCAGTTCAGTGGCGGTTCTTTCGGGCCAAATAGAGTATAAAAGGATACAATTTCTACTCGCGGAGTTAATCCATACAAGTGGCGGGGGTAGTGTGTATTTTTAACTAGGGAAGGGGGGGGAGATGGGTTTTAGTCTCCTAAAACTTCCACTGCAGATAGCTCGAGTTGCCACAACGAATAGAATGGTATACAGCAGCACCCTAACATAACCGAGCGACGCAAACACAAAACCTGAATGTTGCCGAGACATTTTACAATACATTCCGAACACAAGATCACAACACCTATCTAAAAAAAATGCAAATCCACTTAGACATTTTCATCAGCATGCTTTCCTGTCAAGAGGCCGATTTGCACAGTATATATTTTTGCCCGTCGGAGATTTTTACATGAAAATGCAATTATTCGATAAGACAGGTTGGATAACTTGTGTTGGAAACAGGAGGTTGTGCGGCTAAGAAAAACTACTGAATAACCACAGCACCTTGTTCAAGCCGGGAAGGCGACGTAGTCAATGGCCTTAAGATACATACCGTAAACGTGGACATTTAAATCTGTACTCTCCTAGTTGTACTCACCAAGTTGTGCTTGCTAGGTGGTCAGTCGAGCTTCAGCTCTTTGGCCCCCGTCTCTCGACTGTTAATCAACTCATATGCCATCTTGAGGAGTCACAAATCGAAAGTGCACTAATATTTAATTACGACAAGCTACGATGACGCTACTCGGATGAATTTTGGGGTGCGGTTGTATCAGATAAAGGAAGGGTCACAATAGAGATAGTGTGTGTTTGTTGTTTAAGATTCAGCTACTGGGAACAAATTTCCAAGTAGCACGGGCTATGGTGAGCCCGTAGTGGCCATACCTGGCACAGGAGCGGGGCTGTAACTGTTCTCTCTATTGTGTGTGGCAGCGTGTTATGTGTTCCTGTAGACCTGCTGGTCCAACATCGCTCCTCGCACCGCTAACGGGATCGCCCCCACCCCCACAGCACCCCCCTCGCATTACACCCCAGCCACCTCTTGACTCCTACCAGAGAAAGTTACCAACACACACCTACCTGGAAGGAACCTCATTTAAGAAACTTTTCACATGTGAAAAAACCAAGAGGCTGAAGACCACAGCTCAAATGAGATACAACGTAGCTTGCTAGGCCTGGGAGAGAGAGAGAGAGGGAGAGAGCACCTGTAAGAGTGGAGGAAATACCGCCACATGGAGGGGGAAGAGTGAGGTAAGAGTCGACCCTGAACTCTCCTGGACAAGTTGAGGGTCACTTGCCCGCTCCACCTTACCTTAGTTACTACGTCGAAGTCGTGCCGTCTAGCGATGTTGTGTGCCTTCTCATCTCCTCCCTCGACGTGGACCGCCCATTCGTGAGTGTAATCCCCTACTTCAGCCTTTACTCCAGAGATCATCACTAAGAGCAGCACCGCGCCACATATGACATTCACTACACGCATTTCACCACAGATCCGATACATTTTGGCCGGTTGTAAGATATGTGTGCGGCTAATTTCTCCGGTTTTATCGTATGCTACACAAATTCGGGTTGCCTAACTTCATAGAAATCTTACACGACCTTCTACACAGTTTGTATCATAGTTGTAGCAACTTTGGACCGGGAGAGGAGCGCGTATCCTCCCACTACCACTGTTCAACACACACTGAGAGACCTCGGCGCCACTTACAGCGACCAACGCCACACTGAGGGTCTCTAGTGGCATTCCCAACAACTACTCTGCCACACTTTCCGGGGACTTCATTTTTGTATTATTATTTACACCATTAATGTATATATACACATGTAGATAACATATTATATCTGCATTTAAAATGTGCTATACGAGTATGTAGGGCTTTAATGATAGGGATTTGTCCATGGATCTGCCTTAATTAAGCAATACAAACTACTGGCGCGATCACCTGTCGGGCCTTTTATTTTTCAAAAAATCGAAATCAAAATGTTTATTGAGGTAAAGTGCATACATACAAGGTGAGATATAAACATTGATGGATTTAGTGCTAGAGCTAGTACATACTAGTACTAAAGTACTAGTATGTACTAGTACTAGGCTAGTACAACGCCTAAAGCCGCTATTACGTAAAGCGTTTCGGCAAGATATTGATAAGTTACGTCACTAATCCGGAGGAAGGGATAAGTTCGTCGAGAGGTATATCACTTCTCAGTCTACATGCAGTGAGAGTTTACTTTAGACCTGGACAATCTCCAGGACAAAAGTATACTTTATGATTGGTCAGTAAACACTTGCGTGACCTTAACAGGGACAGGGTAATAGGCCTGGAGGCCCAAATATCAGTGTCCTGTCAACAAACTAGGTAACTAGCTCATCAGTGCTAAACTTGTTTAGCTAAACGAATTTGAGGTTTCAATTCCTGAGCTTCTATGCCTCTAACCTTTCCCACCACCGCCTACGGGATGGGTATGGGGTCCACTACCACTCACAGGATTGTTATGGGGTCCACTACCACTCACAGGATTGTTATGGGGTCCACTACCACTCACAAGATTGTTATGGGGTTCACTATCACTCACAGGATTGTTATGGGGTTCACTATCACTCACAGGATTGTTATGGGGTTCACTATCACTCACAGGATTGTTATGGGGTCCACGACCACTCACAGGATTGTTATGGGGTCCACTACCACTCACATGATAGATTTTGAGATATTCACAGGATAGATTTTGAGATGTTTACAGGAACGGTATAGTGTATAATAATGAACAATAATAAAACTAAACTTCAGGAAGTGTGTGAATTGTTTCCAACAGAGTTCTCTTGTTCCAGACCTGAGGCTGGGTTGGCTTCCACTCACGTTCCAGACCTGAGGCTGGGTTGGCTTCCACTCATGTTCCAGACCTGAGGCTGGGTTGGCTTCCACTCATGTTCCAGACCTGAGGCTGGGTTGGCTTCCCCCCATGTTCCAGACCTGAGGCTGGGTTGGCTTCCACTCATGTTCCAGACCTGAGGCTGGGTTGGCTTCCACTCATGTTCCAGACCTGAGGCTGGGTTGGCTTCCACTCATGTTCCAGACCTGAGGCTGGGTTGGCTTCCACTCATGTTCCAGACCTGAGGCTGGGTTGGCTTCCACCCATGTTCCAGACCTGAGGCTGGGTTGGCTTCCACTCATGTTCCAGACCTGAGGCTGGGTTGGCTTCCACTCACGTTCCAGACCTGAGGCTGGGTTGGCTTCCACTCATGTTCCAGACCTGAGGCTGGGTTGGCTTCCACTCACGTTCCAGACCTGAGGCTGGGTTGGCTTCCAGTCATGTTCGATGTATCGAGAACAAAATAATTACAATAGCCGTAAAAAAAGGTTCCAACCTTCAAAATACATATTTATATTAACTTGAACAGCACAATATAAAAACATATCATTTCATCATCCACAACAGCTGCTATTCTCCATCGCTTATCATCATACGTCATTATATAAACAATGTACATCATTTTCCCAAATACTAGAAACCACGAAATTAAGTATATTCGACCATTATATTAAGTGACGAACATTACAGTAAAAAGCGAAACTATATTACGATTTTTTACAGTGGATCTGTGTATGCAAATTGCCATAAAGCATTATACACCAAACTTTAGTTCAATAGCCTAGTGTAGGAGAGCCGTTACGGCCCACAAACAATGGGATGCTGACGTTGTAACTCTGCTCTGATTGGTTGTGCAATAAGGGAACTGCCAATGGTATAATTGAGGCAATTGCAGCAGTAATTTGCAACAACTGATATCCAACTTCAGTTATTGTTATATTTTTTTTTTGTATAAATACAAGTTCGAAATATGCAATTACAGCCAACGATCAAATTTTGAGATATCTAAAAGACAAGTAAAGAAATAGGTTATAAGAAATATCTCATAAACTAACATCAGAAAATTATGTAGTGTATAACTAGTTAAAATAGAACAGCTTTTAACTGTTAGTATTCAAAGTTAATTGTGTGTTAAGTTACACAATGTGAGCAATTATGCCATCTGGCGCGTGTTACGCAAACTATTATGATGTAAATCATTACACAAAAGCCAGTTTACATTGTTACGTCAGTATAATGTAAACTATATAATGACCGGTAACTACCGGGGTCTAAACCATTGTTCACAGAACAAGGATAAGAGCAGGACGCTTGCCAGCTGTTTTTGTTGTTGTTATAGATTCAGCTACTCGGAACAAGTTCCAAGTAGCACGGGCTATGGTGAGCCCGTAACTTACCTGACACAGGAGCGGGGCAAGTAGCACAGGCTATGGTGAGCCCGTAGTGGACTTACCTAGCACAGGAGCGGTGTTGTGTGTCTTACCTTGCCAGCTGCTAACTCCCCATGTATATACAGAGATCTCCTTCCCGTAACTATGTATATATACACACGTCTCTCCTCCCCATAACTATGTATATAGACCGTAAGACCTACCCCACTAATGTGTATATCCTCTAAGTTAATATTAAATTATGAAGAATTAAGTGATCTGTTTATGTTTGGAACGCGTTACAGTAGGCAAGTACCATGGAGTTATGGAACTGTTGTGGGTTGCGTCTCATCAGCAGTTGGCCTGGGGGGGGGGCTCAATAAGGCTAGCAGGCTGCCTGTCCCCAGCCCATGGGGAACCCTGAGGTGAACCATACACACATATATAATTATGATGATCATACTTGTCGTAAACGGGCTCACCATAGCCAGTGCTACATGGACACTTCGTCCTGAGTAGCTAAATCTGAAACAATAACAACTACTTGTCGTATAGACACAGGCTAACCATAGCCCGTGCTTCTTGCCCCGCTCCTGTGCCAGGTAAGTTACGGGCTCACCATAGCCCGTGCTACTTGGAACTTGTTCAGAGTAGCTGAATCTATAACAACAACAACATTGTCGTATATTCATGTTGTGTTTCGTTTCTAATAAGTTCTGTCACTAGAAAGAGTACTGAAGTTGTAATTGCCTTGTTAGACGCTATATTGAACTTAAGATAAGACAGTTTTACCTCTCAGACTGAACTTTAAGATGAAGCAATATTTGCCATGTCATCTTGCAATCAACCTTTATGTTATCCTTTTCTCGATGCTCAGACACTACGCTCAATCTTTGTCAGCCATTTCAGTGCTACATAAAACCTCATAGATACCTTAATTGACCTTGAGGTTACCTTGATGTGTTTTCGGGGCTTAGCGTCCCCGCGGCCCGGTCGTCGACCAGGGCTCCTCGTTGCTGGACTGGTCAACCAGGCTGTTGGACGCGGCTGCTCGCAGCCTGACGTATGAATTACAGCCTGGTTGATCAGGTATCCTTTAGAGATAGATGTTTATAGTTTGATAATTAGATGTTAAATTGTATTGTTATAACGTGATCTTGCCAGGACTCCACACCCCGCGCCACACATGCACGGAACGTTGTATAAAAGATTGTCACACATGATATCAGTTATTACGGGCTCACCATAGCCCGTGCTACATGGACATTTTGTTCTGAGTAGCTAAATCTAAAACAACAACATAATACCAGTTAATGCAAATGTTGCTACAAGTATTACGTTTGTTACAGACGGTCTTACATACGGGCTCACCATAGCCCGTGCTACTTGGAACTTTTCGTTCCAGGTAGCGTATCTACATCAACAACAATGGTCTTACAAACGTCGTATCACATTAAAAATTTGTAAGAATAACGCTGTCGTTTTTTTGCTGGGCGCCAAGATATTTACCTCCGCCACACACCCTCGTCAGAGACCATAGTCCCGCTGGCCTGCTCCATCACAGTCTTTCCAAGAATTCTCATCAGCGATTCCGCGTTGGATTCCTCTGAAACTCGCAGCAAATAAATCCCTCTCTCACAGTTCCCGCTAACTTCACGTGTCTTCTGGATGTTGTGGCCCGCGGTGCCTACTGACAGGACTAGTAATGATGCTGATGTGTGTCTATATTCCTCCAAGGAGTGCCGGACCAACCGGGCTGTGGTGGGTATGTGGGCCTGCGGGCCGCTCCAAGCAACAGCCTGGTGGACCAAACTCTCACAAGTCAAGCCTGGCCTCGGGCCGGGCTTGGGGAGTAGAAGAGCTCCCAGAACCCCATCAACCAGGTATCAACCAGGTATGTATGTATTAACACGATGTACTTAACAGGGTGAGAATAGCTTGAGCTACCTCATCCCTTTGTGTGCATTTTACCTCAATAAACTTATTTCAATTTCAATTTTTCAAAGTAATGATGTTCAGGGCACTGAGGCGTCTGTTTTTAGTAGAAGACAGTTCAAGATTTACATATGTCCCCCATTTACTTTGGTGCTGGTAAAGTAGTTCGTCAACTATAAGCACTCCAAGTTTGTATGCTTTATAACATGTCGTGGTACAGGGGTAAGGTGCGCAGCTGTGAGTTCCTTGGTCGCGGGTTCGAGTCACCTCATTGCTCCAATAGACTTTCTTATTATTATCATCAGAAGATGAGCACCAGAGCGCTGGGACGCACTTGCCGAATCCTGATTGGATTAATATTAACGATTTAAAGCAGGATTTCTCTTCAACGCCGACCAACCTAAGGAGGAAAAAATCATCATGCAAATGAGAAAATCAGTCCAAATTTCAACAGTTAATTAGTCAATAACGACGATTCTTTACCTTAGGAACTAGAACAAATAACCTTAGGAACTAGAACAAAAAACCTTAGGAACCTAGAACA